GAAGAGTAAGTCTGGTTCCCTGTAAAAACTTCTCTGTTGACACCCACCCCTTGGCGCTCATATGACCTTTTGCAGTTGCGGGCGCCGTAAAACTTTACTAAGACTAACTTAAACACTCACAGTAAACTACAATTATAAAATATTTTGAGCCAATGTGTGGGTGGTTGGCGGGTGCTCTGGTGTGATTTGCTTCTTCTTTCCTACTAAACATCTATCGTCCTGATCTCTCCTTCTTTTTTGTGTTTGTTACTCTCTTGTAACACCTTTAATCTTTGGCACTTATATGACCTTATTGTGTTGCGAATGCCGTAAAACTCTTACTAAAACAAAAACTGATCCAGTGTGGGTGCTGATAAAATGTAATGTGCCGATCTAATTGTTGTTCACTCAAAGACAAAAAAACAACAACAAAATACATAGCCTTCGGAATCACTAGTCGTTGTATGATAGGGTGTTATACTCGTACAAAAGTGATACAACTTTTTAAAGCAGCTGGAAAAAGTCATGCTATTTTTTCCTTTGACTCATCTCCCAACTCCGAGGTGAAAATTCCCGAAGTGATAACTCTAGTGTAGACAGTAAGAGTGAGAGAGACACAGAAAGAGAGAGAGAGAGAGAGGGGGTGGAGACAGAGAGAGAGAGAGACAGAAAAGGAGAGAGAGAGGGGCACAGAGAAAGAAAGAGAGGGGGGGGGGAGAGAGAGAGAGAGGGGGGGAGAGAGAGAGAGCGGGGAGACAGAAAGAGAGAGAGGGGGAGACAGAAAGAGAATGAGGGAGAGACAGAGAGACTGAAAAAGAGAGACAGTTCACATAGTGACACAGAAAGAGAGAGGAGGGAGAAAGAAAGAAAAATGAAAAGCTGATTCTTGCTTGTGCGTCCCCAGCCAGCCCAGTTCACGTGCCCCACTTCTCGGGCCACTCGTACCTGGAGTTCCCGGGCCTGCAGCGGTCAGTGTTGTCCTTCACCGAGCTGGAGGTGGTGTTCAAGCCCACCAGTCCCGATGGCTCCGTGCTCTACAACGGCTACTCCCGGGACCGCAAGGGCGACTTCATCTCTCTGGCCATGAGCGAGGGACACCTGGAATTCCGATTTGACCTGGGCACAGGCCCTGCGGTCATTAGGTCAGTTTGTCAGGTGTTTTTATCATCCCCCCTGGACATAGTCCATGTTTGTATTTGATGTATAACATACTCAGAGGTATTGTGAGTTCGTGTTTGTATCAACATTTGACGTATAACATACTCAGAGATATTGTGAGTTCATGTTTGTATCAACATTTGACGTATAACACACTCAGAGGTATTGTGAGTTCATGTTTGTATCAACATTTGACATATAACATACTCAGAGGTATTGTGAGTTCATGTTTCTATCAACATTTGACGTATAACATACTCAGAGGTATTGTGAGTTCATGTTTGTATCAACATTTGACGTATAACATACTCAGAGGTATTGTGAGTTCATGTTTCTATCAACATTTGACGTATAACATACTCAGAGGTATTGTGAGTTCATGTTTGTATCAACATTTGACGTATAACATACTCAGAGGTATTGTGAGTTCATGTTTGTATCAACATTTGACGTATAACGTACTCAGAGGTATTGTGAGTTCATGTTTGTATCAACATTTGACGTATAACATACTCAGAGGTATTGTGAGTTCATGTTTGTATCAACATATAACATACTCAGAGGTATTGTGGGGGTGGTGCACAGGGCGAGAATTCAGAACCTAACCAGATGGCTATAGTCAGCGACGTTATCTTTTGGATTTTTGTTTTGTTTTTGTTTTTCGTTACTGATATTGATCCTGGCTGAAATAGGAAGAGCATGGACATGCACACTCCTCCCCCCCCCCCCCCTCCCCCCAGCTCTTTTCAATATTCAAACCTTGATGAATGTCTGTATACAAGACGAAAACGTTTTAACTGACTGAGGGCTGTGATTTTTCTTGCTTGATTACTGGGTATTTTCAGTGGTTAAGAATCATAATTGTGAAGTCTTCGCAAGTTCCTCTCTTGCTCACTACTTTACAGATGATTATTGGTACAAGATTTGCACAGAGACATAAAGTTAAAACGTTTTTATGTGCCTTGTGAAATATGAGTTTGTTGTTTGAGCAAATTGCATGGAAAAACAGGTGATGGGTCACCTGAATATAAAACTTTATAATGTCCATCCTATCAAAGATCTATCGTCCTTATCTCCCTTCCTTCTTTTTTATGTTTGTTACTCCCTTGTAACACCTCTAATCTTCTGGCGCTCATATGACCTTGTGTTACGAGCGCCGAAAAACCTTTACTAAAACTAAAACACACACATACACACACTCACACACACACACACATATGCCTACACACAATAAAGACTTTTATAACAGACAGGACCACACAAACACACACTCCCCCCCCCCCCCTCTCTCACACACACACACTCCCACACACTTTCACACACACACACAATACACAGACCTGCAACCATAAGACACCGCCACGAATTTTAAAAAACAAAACCCCTCGTCTCCTGGAATGTCAGTGGCGGCCACGGTTAAATGTGTTTCTACTTTCTACTTCGTCTGTCACTGTCTGCAGGAGCTATGAACCTCTGAGTCTGAACCAGTGGCACCTTGTGCGCGCCTCTCGCACGGGCCTGATGGGCACGCTGGACATCGACGGCCAGCGACAGACCAACGGGCAGGCAGGGTGCCTACACCCAGCTCACTCTACTGGACGGACTGTATCTGGGCGGTCACCCCAACTACGACCACACCTCTCGCCACGCCAACCTCACCCGCTCCTTCACCGGCTGCTTGCAGAAGGTGGGGGGCTGTTGGCTTATTTTGAGATATTATGTTGGGTTATTTGTAGATATTATGTTGGGTTATTTGTAATTATTATGTTGGGTTATTTGTAGAGGGTTATTTGTAGATATTATGTTGGATTATTTTTATATATTATG